CCACTTTAGCGATGCAATTATCTGAAACTATGGCAGTGAAAATAATAATGAGAATCCCAAAAAACCCTCTCACTTGAGAACTACTACTTTTCTTGGTTCACTATGGCATTTTCTACTACGGTATTACGTTTCGTAGTATTTGGGGGATCGCATCTGCACATGTTCCGTTTTTTCTCAATTAAAAGTATACTGATCAATTAGGTCTTACGGATTCAAGCCAGACTAAGCTTTTCATTTCTTTCGAGTTTGGCAACAAACAAAAAATTCACCTCTTCGGAGTTATATCAACAACGTTAATGTTCAAGTAAGTGGGGACGAAACGAATGCATGATAGGTTTAAGCTGATAAATCAGGACATCATAATGTCCGACTGCTTTTAATTGGTAGACATCACCGACATATACCTATCACAACACCACCTATGAACGCATGTGAATAGGGCAAAACAGTAGATTGCACGATGCCCTGACTACATATGCCGACTATGAGCACTGTAACAATTAAGCCTCTCAATGTGACTTATCTTCGTCTCAGCTACCCAGTAAAAATCAAAATCGGTTTTAGTGGTTTCAAAAAATAATAAGGTTAATTTCGCCTAGACGAATAGTGTTAAGTGCGTTAAGAGGTCATTGGAATGAGAGTATTTTTGAAAATACTTACCCCATACTAACCAATGAAAAGTTACTACTTGAAGTTATGCAGGATTACATTCTGAACTACTAAGAGATGTTAAACGAAACGGCAGAGGCATTAACTCTTTCAATAAGGCTTTGGATGAACATCTTAAATGTTTTACAATCATCAAGGGCAAAGACAGCTGATCCAATACATTCACCATATATTGGTAATGGATGCCCTATTGTTCCAGAAATCAAAAGAACTAGAACTAACAAACCCTAATCAAGAAAACCAACTAGTATTCAACAAGGCACCTACTTCCATAAAGAACGTCGTCACTTAACTCTGCAACTAATAATATATATATGCATGTATGTACATATATATGTTCACCAGATTATGCTATCAGACAGATTAATGCGAGAGAATGTAAAGGGTAACACTACCTAGTTCTATCGATGAGCGTAAACTCGGGTAGCTGATGGAGCATAACAACACCGTTCTCGAACCCAGCCACCAACATCTGTAATTTACGATGGTAGGCGATAACGGTAATGGACTCAGGAATGAGACGATCCAACGAGTTTCGGTAGAAGTGCTTCGAGGTCAGACGGAAGGTGGCTTTCGCGATTGCCTTTTCCGCTGCCTTTGCTCCAGTATCCATGTCCTTTAGCATTGTGTCACAAACCCACATTTTCAACTCCCCATCGGTACTAAGCGTAAAACAATCGAGAGAATGATCGCTACAGAACCTGGCGAAGACCGGAGCTCTGTGACCAGAGAGAGTGTAGATAATTAGTTTTTCACATTTCCCCACAGACAGTATGCGTGCTGTCATGTCGTCGCTGCCAGCGATTATAAACCTGCAAGAAGGGACATTTGTTGCATGTGTGTCTATTACCTTGAGTCCGATGACCAGTCAATATTTCTGACAGAATCCTGAAAACCATATAAAAAACGGTACAACTCCAGTGAATTCATACTCCGCTCGGGTTCTGGAGCAAGGAAGACCATAATAGCATGGTTCTTGGCAATCGCTAAATACCTGAAGGAATGTCAGAAAATGGAAACATACTTTCCATTTGGACTAAAAGAAAGGGCTGATATGGGATGACGAAACTTATGTGTACTAATAACATTGCCAGAAAGGAGGGACACAAGCGATCCATCACCATCTATAAATCATCAAACAATCCTAGAACACTACTTGTATTGATTGCAAAAATAACTGGAAGCGTAGGTGAGACCGCAATATGAGTTAGATTAAACTGGCTGTTTACAAAAATAGTACGAGCTTCATCTCTAGGAGATTGATAAAGGACTGTATTCATGCGAACCGAAGCAAATGGAATATTGTGGCGTGATTTCCGACGGGGCTTAGGAGACACGAGCCATTATGAGTGAATTCCAAGTTTCCAGATTTGTATACAGTTCCGAATAGATTTGTGAACTAAGAGCAACTAGGCTAAATGAAAACCACACCTTGAAATTAAGCCTCATGTAGTCATATATAAGGCACGAGAAAATTGGAACCTTGCTACAAAATCCGCTAAAGAAGTGATTCAATCAAACAAAAACAAGTTTTCAATAATGGTACCAACAACGCAACAGAACCCAGTTTTTGTAACGCGCTATTGAGAAAATGCTCAAATTTGTTTGGACAATTGCATATTTTTTAACCTTTTGACTGCAATTCTCTTGGAACGCTGTGCATTCGCAATCCAATATAAAGATGTGTTATCAGAAGCCATTAAAATTTAGTACATTTAATGGCTCTGTAGCATCCCAAGACTTCACATTAAAGTAGAAGAAGGCATAAGTGAGGTTAAAATATATGTATTCTGAAGACGAAAGGGCAAATGGGGCCTGAGCGTGGCCCGAAGGCCAGCCCACTTGTAGAATGGCCAGACAAATTCTAAAGTGACCGCCGAACGTCATGTGGTCGCATAAATAAAGCATTACAGACCCAAACCCTTAATCCTTTGTGCTGCTAACTCGAGCGTACCATTATTGTGATGAGCTGCTATTCGACTTTACTGGTGATAGGTGCAATGCGCTTTTTATGCGATCATCTGATGTTCGGCAGTCACTTTAATATTTGTCTGGCCCTTCCGCTGGTGGGCTGGCTTTCGGGCCATGCTCGGGCCCATCTGCTCTGTTTTCTTCGGAAGATACGTATCCAGCCATACTTACTGCCTTCCTCCACCCTGTGGAAGTACAGCACCTAAGCGAAACGGCTGCAGTTATAACGGCAATCAACCAAAATCCGTACTAAGTATTGTTCAGAACTCAATTCCTCTTATCAAACCATGTAATATCTAACTGGTCTCCTGCTTTCTATTATGCAAGTTTTGCGTTGCTCACTATTATTTTCCACATTAACCATTGTTCTTTGATAAACTGATGTCACTTTGCGCAGCATGCCATCAGGTTGTGAGAGGCATTAAGCTTAACCCATTCCGTATTATTCCAACAGAAAGCAGAGGTGTGGGGCTTTGGCAGGGTTTAAAGGCCAGCTCATCCAGGAAAAGCAACGTCACCACTTGATATAGACAGCCGAATAAACAAATCAATACCCTTTGTACAAGCAGTCAAAAAGCCATTTTGTTAACGTCAACCACTTAGTCCTGTGATCCTCTAGAGTTTTCATACGGTGAGTTCATACGCAGATAAAGTGCAGAATAACAGTGCTATCATCGCTACAAGAATAGCACCTTTGGAAAGAGGCTACCCTCACCTCAACCTGCAGTTGCATGAATTACCAAAGCATCAAAAATGTTGCGGAGTTTCATGTGACTATTGCCACGTATACAGCCATATTTTACGGCATTCCTCACAAAGAAGAGATGTGAGTTTGTTTGCCTATATTCGTACAACTTTTAGAGACTTACAATACACTAGAACAACTGCCTTCAACTCATTGGACAAATGTCTCGATTTTGCTTGATCAAATCCTCGTAAACTTGCACCATATTTAGTTTTAGTATTTTTGGTATGGAGGATATAAGTTTTCTTACCTAATTCGTCTTCATGATGATCCGATCAGCCCTTCAGACGGAGCTTACTAATCGGATTTGCGTTTTTATGCACTTATTACATGGAATTGTTCAGCTTGTCAGCCCCATTATTAGTGGTATTAGTATATTGGTAAGGAAGCAAAAATAAAAATCACTTTTGTTTGGTCACCACCGTATCTTCAACCGCCTAGCAATTAATGGAAGCCGCAGTTCTACCTGTGCTCACTGACCCAAGAGTGAAAACCTAACTTCTAGGTTAACCGCAGAGCAAACCTAGGCAGGTCAAAAGTGCCCAAGGAGTAACGGTTTGATTGCCAATCAAGGTAGGCTAAACCGTGAATAACAGGCGTTGGTTGATTAGATTTTGTGTTCCTAAATCATCACCACTTGCCGTCGCCTTACATTGACTAC